TAGTCACGCCATCGTAAAGGGGTAGTCACGCCATCGTAAAGGGGTAGTCACGCCATCGTAAAGGGGTAACCGCGCGATGGAAAGGGAGCTGGACCCGGTTTGCTGTGCTTACCGCCTTCTCCTTCATGGGCCTAAGCGGGGTTAGACGCACCCTGGGGTGCACCTCAGCTGGACTCCACGAAGGGATTCAAAACGGACTTTGCTCCACCATGATTGGTTCTCTCCCCTAGTCATTGCTTCAATTCAATTCGCTTCCATTTTTTTTTTTTTTTTTTCTAAATCTGCTTCCGCCACGTGGGAGACGCGAACCGACGTGCACACCTACACGATCCTACTGTCCCGTCTTCATTTTCGTGAAACTGATTTTTTTTTGGCTCCATCGACGTTTCATTTAAGCAGCCTACGCCGCACTAACATACCATTGGTGGCTCCCTCCGCACGGGCAAAAAAACGACACGCGTATAGACCATCGCAACAGATGCTACTAAACAGAGTGGACGACAACTCTTCACTACAGAACAGGCAACACACGGGGTGCACGCCACATGGGCTTTGTTCGTCACCGCGTGGCAGTGTGTGAATTGCGAAGCGTTGTTTCCTCCCCACTCGGTCATTCCCCTTTAAATACCCTGTTACACACACTAACGATATCTACATGTTAACACCTCTTCCCATTTTGTCACGCCTGGAGGAGCTCCCGCATCAACAACATTTCTCTTCCTCCTACGTGGCATTTGCTCACCTACACGTCCTCAATTGTGCAGCGACACTTTCACTTAACGGTGTGTGGCCTGCCTGTGTAAACCTGGTCCGTTTCTCACCCCACAGAATAATTTTTTCCAGTTACCCATATTTTAATTTTTTTTTTTTTTTCCCACCATAAATGAGGATAAGTAAACATATAAAAAGGACACACTTGGTGCATTTTTTTTTTTTTTTTTTTTTTTTTCCCCTTTTCCAGTTTGCGCATCGAGAGACTGGTTGTCATAGTCCACCTTTTTAATTCGCCACCCCTGGAGTATCATCATCCAGCCACAACGTAACTTTGCTACTTTGTCGTATCGCCGTTTCACCGCATCATCACTTCTTTTAAACGATATTACACCGCAGCCACCGCATTAGAGGAGTACCATTTTTTTTTTAATTCCGGGGGTGAAAAGGAGGAGCCTCAAAAAGGGGGTAGAGTTGCAAGCCTTTTGTGCGTGTACATTCGTGTCGCTTTTCACACTGGTACAAGCATCTTGCTTCTATGCTCTTTTTTTTTTTTTTTTTTTTTTCCGACATGTTTTATATATGCATATTGTTCCAAGCAAGTCAAGGGTGCCACCAAATACGAGTCGCTTTTTTTCACCCGCGGGACGTTTCTTCACATGTACGTATATACGGTATTGTTTGCTGCCTAGTAAAATGAAGTGAGCACTAAGGCATTGCTTTTCCTTCACATGAGTCACTTCTCATTCGTGCCAATTATACTCTCCCCATCCCCAGAAAAGAGCACTTCCGCCTATCTTCACAAGCGAGCTGATTTAGCCACCCCCCACCAGTCCCCCGCGAGTGCTTTTTTTTTCCCCATATGTTTATAATAGGTGGAGAAAAAAAAAACACGTACATACCTTACGCACGCATAACATAAACGCACAAACATACTTATTTTGAAGCATTTGAACGACAAAATAAAGTGAACACAATAGGTAAAGCCTAAATTGTAAATTCATAACGATACTTCCGAGCCTCTCGTGTGGCATCACAATCGTTAAAGCAGCACTAACTTTTGTGTTATGTAAAGTTCATCGAGTTACGCACTAAGTGTTACGCTTCGCTTTCACGTGTGGTGAATTTGTATTCCCCTTCGTATGTGTTTTTCCCCTGACTTGTGAGCAAATAAAGGAAAAGAAAAAAAGGATACTCTACCATTTGCCCAGAATGCAGCAAATGCATATGCCCCATGCATAAGCAGCCTCGAACCATACACAGGCAGCAACCCAGCGCACGAACGAAACATAGCAGCCATATTGACACACGGCATTCGCCGGTGGGGTTACACAACGACGTGTTAGAGCAACACAGCGACAGCGTGACGACATATTCTCCTCGCCTGCAGTACCGCTCCCCCAACCATCCCATCTTGCGTTAAGGCCGCTTAACCATCCTATATGTGTTTGAAGAAAAGTCTGGAGAACAGAATTTTTTTTTTTTTCTTAATTTCCCCCATTTCGGAAGAATGAACTGGAAAAAGGCTTTAAGTTTGGCAGGTAAAAATTGCATTGCAAAGTGGAGAAGAATTTTTTTTTTTTTTTTCATGTGCCACGCATTGGGGGGGGGAATAGAGAAAAGGACAATTTTCCTTCACTGTGTGTATACAGTTGTGCAAAGGGGCCAACATACCGGAACGATGCAGAGTGGACGGAAAGGCCCACTGTTATATTCGGCGGTTATATTTTGCCCACCTGTGCAACCCCATTTATACCCCATATGTGTATTTATATATTTTTTTCTTTTACAGGAGGGGCGGCAGCTGTGGTTGCCTTGACGTACATGCTAATGAAGGACGATGATAGTCACGATGAAAAGGATGATGAAAATGAAAAAAAAAAAAAAAAAGACGGAAAAATGAATAAGGACGGAAACAGGATTATAAAGGGAGAATCGGTAAGAACAATTGAATAGTTACCTTTACAACTGTTTATATTTTTACTCCCACCCATGTGTGTGGCAGTGTATACTTCAATTACAATCACCCACTCTGATCTCTTCCTTCCGCAGATGACAAGAGAGGATCTCCTGCAACTCTTGAATGAAATGCTCAAGCTACAGACGGACATGAAAAATATTGTTAAAGATTTAATCGTAGTAGCAAAGAATAACGGTTACGAGTAAGTTGCGAAATAAATAACGCAGGCGTCCGCTGTGTGTATGTGTGCGTGTTTGTTTGTCGTGGTGCTTCTTAACCATTCCAGTGGCATTTCTTCATAATACCTCCACAATAAAAACATGCATTTTCTCCCCCCCCCTTTTTTTTTTTTCCTCCCCAAAGCTTTATGTCCGTCTATAATGTAGCCAAGACATATAACACAGTGGACCCTCTGGGCAAATATCAAATCGAGATGCCAGAATTTGACAAGGTTGTGGAGAACTACCACTTCGACCCAGGTACCATTTTTTTTTTTTTTTTTTTTTGTTCTTTTTATGGCATCACGTTACCATGTCGTCGGTCATCTGATGGCCACTTTATTCCCCCTATAATGTTTACTCACGAATGACCCCTCCTTACCACCCCCGCAGAGGTGAAAGAGACTGTCTCGAAGCTCATGTCGTCCCAAGAAAAGTACAAAAACGATTCAGTGCATTTTCGCATGTGCAAAATTATAGCGCATGAAAATGTGGATGTGCACGTCAATTTACAATTGCTCAGTGGATAAGAAAAAAAGATTCTTCTCTCCGTCCTTGAACATGTTTAACGTACCTCCTTTTTCTTCCCTCCTCCCCCCGTTATCTCAGTTACTATGCCAACATGAGCGAAACCGCCACCCTGAGTGTGGATAAAATTATCGAAATTCACCACTTCATGTTAAATGAACTGTACAAGATCGACCCAGAATTTAAAAAGATCCCCAACAAGCACGAGCTCGATCCCAAGCTAATAGCACTAGGTATGACTTAAACGTGTTCGCAGAATCATTGCTGCGTTTTTGCACAAATGAGCTGGGACGCCTTCCCGTCCTTGTAACGGATGACCACCACACTTGTACGTTGCAGTAACGTACTTTTTCTCCATTTTTTACATTTGCAAAAAATTTTTTGTGCCCCCCTCTTTGTAGTTATACAATCCATAGTGAGCGCAAAAGTGGAGGAGGAATTCAACTTGACTTCGGAAGACGTGGAGGCCTCCATTGCTAACCAGCAATACGCCCTGACTTCGGTAAGGAAGACGACTCCCATGTATTCTCGCCCATACGGGTCTATATGCAAATGTTTATATACACCTTTTTGAACTTCTCTCAATGGTGTTGCACAGGTGTAATCATTTTTTTTTTTTTTTTTTTTCTCCCCCGCTGCAGAATATGGAATTCGCCCGAGTGAATATTCAAATGCAGACAATTATGAACAAATTCATGGGGTAAGTATGACCCCCCAAATTTTGCTAAAACGAATTAACGAATACAGCTATGTTTGCATCATCGTGTGGGGTCTCTTGTATAGTGTGTTCCTGATGTATATATTATGCAAACATTTGGCCGCTTCCCTCACCGCTGCTTTTCATGTTAATAAATTGTTTTTTTCCGTCCCTACAGTGACCACTTCAAATTTATGTGCGACAAGGAGGGAGCCTACTAGCCGAAGACTTAGTGGAGCGCCTAACTTCACCATGCCACCAACCCACCAAAGTGTAAAATTTAGTATTCAACGGGCACCTTGTACACATATACCAATCATATCATGCTTTGCAAAAAAAAAAAAAAAAAAAAAAAAAAAAAAGAATTCAAGCAACGGTTATTTCTACATTGCTTTGTTTTTATTTTTTCGCACACGTTATGCCTACGTGCTGCTGTATTGTTTTCATGTATATAGATAACACTGCCACGTGGTACCCTCTTATTATCCCCTTTTTTTTTTTTTTTTTTTCCCTCCCCCTTTCTTTTAAAACGAGAAGGTTCTCCATCGCATTCACGTTTACAGAAAGAAAAATATATTTTCCACACATTTTATATGTTATTAATTTAATATATAAATACGTGCCCATATATGTGTGTTCGCATATATGCCTACAGTGTACATAACGTGGGTGCGCGCTTGTGTGTTGTTAACTTTTAAATGTTTTATGCTTTCACTATTGTTTGTTTCTTCCCTCTCTGTCTCTGCTCTGGCGTGTTCTCTTGCGCCGTCTTCTCTCACGTCCCCATTTTTGAATTTTCCCACCCACAGTGTTGATTTAATGTGCATGTGCCAGGTTTAGGCCCCATTGTAAAAGCAACCTGATGATGCGTGTGCCCCGCACTCCCCTGCTCGAGTTCCGGCACGCATAATGCATCACGCGTTTTTACTCCCACGTTATGCTATTTACACTCCTCTTCGACTTCTTTTATTTTTCTGCGCTATGCCCTTTTCTTTTCTCCAAATTAGCAGCAAAAACATTTAGCAAAAGGCAAAATTGCAGCATGCTGCACATTTTGTTATCTTTTAATCTATTTTTCATCCCCTAAATGTAAGTCCCTCGATCGATTTGAAGGGGGCAAATAAATAAAAATCGTATCAGGCCATCAGTGGACAGCCATCGTGCGTCTATAAATGTTTCTTTCTAATGCAACGTGTTGATCGCATCCTTCCACGCATCAGTTTTGAACTGCCCTCCATTATGGTTCCATAAAAAATACATCTCCCTGCACACCGCCGCGGATAGTCCGAACAAACAATTACCAACTGAGCAATTAATAACACCATGTCTGTGAACCTTAAAACTGTGCTCAGGGAAATGCTTGTATCGTGACATACACAAAATGCTTGACCATTCCACAGGTTGTTCATTTTTCCTACCCTAGTTGTCACTCCATATAAAAATCGTTTAAGGGAGGTTCCCATCTGCATTCCCACCTTCACAGGGGTGGCCAAGTGTAAAGCCAAATATTCAAAGTTGCACACAAGTGGGGAAAAAAAAAAAAAAATATGAACAGTTCATACAAAAAAGCCTATTATCCTACGAACATTTCTTTTTCACCTTGATGGAAAAGAAAAGCTTTTTTAAGAGCAGAAATGCCAATTCAGCTGTAGTTTCTAACTATACCAATCACACCTACACATTAAAAGACAAATTAGCGACTTGCCGTAGGTGTCGTAAGCGCTAAACGTTGCTACGCCTTTGCGAACTCCACTGCCAAAATGTCAGATTGGACAACGGTGGTTTTAACAGAAGGAAAAAAAAAAAAAAAAATATATAGCATTATTTCTGACTTGTTCATAAAAAAAAAAAAAAAATCACACCATTTTACAGCGGCAAATATAGATACATGAAATTCTCTATAAAATAAAGAGGAAAAAAACGATGTAATTCCAACATTTTCTTCCTCCTTAAGAACATGTTAAAAAAAGGGCAAAGCTTATTCCACCGCACATTTTACATTTTCACCCATTCCTTTTTCAGCCTTTTTCGTGTATGTTCCAGTTTTACCACTTTTTTTGTTTACACTTTTTTTTTTTTTGGTTCACTCCTGTCCGCTTCATCAAACGTGTGCTCTCATCCACCCCCGTTAGACACCCTCACAAGGACTTAAATAATTTACTACTCCAGTTTAGGGGAAAAAACAAGACGAACAAGACAGTAATTAACAAACTGGCGAACAGAGCAGTAACTAATAAACTGAAGTGCAAGTAAACCTGTTATCAGATCAACGGAACAATGAAAATGCGCAAAGACAATATCACCTTCCTGCTGGGGATCATAGCGTCCATTCTCCTGTTGGTCGTCGGGGGGATGCTTGACAGTGTCAACTACATTTTAGGATGTTACATATTCGTAGGACTTGCTCTAACAGTGTACACTATACTCGCGTTTCTCGTTCCCAGCACGAAGAAGTCAAGAGATTTTGTCTTCTCCTACGGAGTCACCACAGCATGCATGTTCGTCATATCGCTCATGATTCACATAGTAATAACTGATTGGAAGGTAAAATCATCATGCAATTATAACAGTGGCAATTGCACCAAATATATATTTATATCCGTGTGTGGTTTTGCTTCAAGTTTCTGTTTCCTAGGTGCGTCTATAATGACGTTCAAGGTGCTCCGCGTTTGGTAGGTGTGGCAACGAAGTTGTCGCTTAACCGTGTGACGTCCTTGCATTGTGTTCCTACACATGTGACCATTTTTTCACCTCTATATATTTACCACCCTATAATTGTTTTTCCGCATTGTTGTGCTATAACGTATATGTTTTTACACCCCAAAAAAGTGACTAAAATGTGTCTTCGTCGCTTGAATGTACCCACCTTATGAGTGTACATTGGTACCACGACTCGTTACGTCCGCTATGACGTCGTTGAGTTCGAACTAGCTATTTTTCGCAAAATCCATTTTAAAATATGCGTTTACGTTTGGCCACATTTAACGGAGAAATGTACCTATGCGGGTTTTCTCAGCACCCTGAGGGTGTAACACCACACACCACTGTAGATATTTGCCCACATGGGAAGGGTATAAAAGGGGGGGGGGAGAATAAACAGTTTATTAAAAAGGAAAAGAGGTATACTAATAAAAATTGCACACATATTTAAAAAAAAAAAAAAAAGCTAGGCGGCTTGGGGGCAACAACTCAAATGGGTTAAACGCAATGTACACGGTAAGCAAAAAGTGAACCAATTTAGGCCCCTAAATTGGAAATATAAAAGAAAAGAAAAATAAGGGACACCAGGTGATGCTCATCGACACGAAGCTATATCACTACTGATCCCCTTCAAGTGACAAATTTGTTGAACTGTTCGGCGACCCTGTGGGCAGAAGTCTTGGCATCCATATACAGAGCGTCCGCCTGCTCAATGTGCTTTACATCAATAACAGTTTGGCCCTCAATGCTGGCTAGAATTCTAGAGGGTTCCAACAGGAGCATAGCAAAACGGAGAGAGGACTGGCTGCCAATTTTGGCTAGATAATTCATCCCCTCTTCACTAATGTTAATCTTTTCCGTATGTGCCCGTAGAGCTAAAATTTGAACAATTTCTTTAAGCGTGTAGGGAAAAGTTTTAACGATGATAAGTCTATCTAGTAGGTCCACAGAAATTCCATGGGGCTCTATATTATCTGTGCCTTTAACTGTACAAATACCTCTATTGGTGGCCATTATAACAATTGGAGCTAGGGGAGATTCTATGGCTCTATTTAGGTAAGAAAAACATTCTATATCTAACATATGTGCTTCATCTATGTATAGAACCCCTGGTATAATTTCTGCTAATCCCATTTCCAAAAATTTATTTACAGTTTTGTTAATTTCTATTCTTAGCTTTTCGGTAATTTCTGTCTTTTTAGGTCTCAAATAGGAGTTCAAAACAGATGCTAGATCTTCCCCTACTGTTGGGTTCGCATTAGCTAGATCAATATCGTGTAAAGAAATTTGCTGTATGACTTCCTTCTTTTTGTGAACCTCTCCCTTAGGTAGAGATACATACTCATCAAATTCAATATCATATTCTTTCGAGTAGACATTACATCTACCTAACCTTTTCACATGTCCTGTATTCGTTTCTATATAAATAACGTCTCCAATTTTTATTTTTTCTCTAACAATTTGTTCATGTATTTTGGGGGCTAATCTCAACGTCTTTGATCCCTTCACTGTTTTGAGGGTAATAATAATGGCATTAATCTGTTTAGCTTTATTTAATGAATACAAGCACTCATTTTCTTCCACCACCATGTCTACGACCTCCCCTTCGTACACCAACTTTTCATCCTTTATTTTTATGTGTATACTTTTTCGGAAGGCTTCTAAAATCACTTCCGTTTTTTTTATTTCGTTACTATACACTTCAGAACCTGATAGGTACACGAAGGGCATTTTTTTATTTATTTCCCTGCAGATGCCAATTGCTAGGGCGCTTTTCCCGCTTCCACTTGGACCTGCTAAAAGGATACATTTCCCAGCTAGCTTTTTTTGCTTTATTAAATCTACAAGAAATAGAGACGCTTCTCTTGCTTTGAATTGCCCAACGAGGCCACAGGAATTGTCAAAAAACATCGAGTACCTCTCGTCCGTTAAATTCACATCATTTTCGTGCAGGTATATATTAGTGTTTACTCCTAACCCTTTAATGTGACTATGGATGTTCACTCGTTCCTTTTTCGCGTCGCTGGACGTGTTCACGCTGGCTAGTTTGATCTGCATTTTATCCTTTTCTCGGTGGGTGGCACTGTTGCATGTAAGTTCCTCTTCGGGCCTCTTTTCTCAAAACTCACACGGGGAAACAAACCGCGCCAACCATCACACAAAGGACAGTCCTGCTTGGTGAAAATCGCTAGACGCGGTAACCTGCAAATTCAAGTTGCACCCTACGCACCAGGATATATGGGCTTGCTAAATAGGACCACTTATACGTAGCTATTGTGTATATATATATATATATATATATATATATATATATATATATATATATATATATATATATATGCTCACTTTGCGCTGCACGTAAGGAGCGAACTGGAGGAGATATCCCAACTGGTATGCATATGCAGCGTTTAACCGCGATACGTGGGGACAGTTGCTAACTCGGAATGAATATATCCCCAGCCAGGGTTACATCGTCCGTCGTTTTTTTCAGGGGGCATCTTCACACGGGCTCCGCGATTCACCGTCGGAAAATAAGCTGGCCCCAAATGTGGGGAAAAAAAAAAAAAAAATAATTAAAAAAAATACATATATATATATACATATAAATAGAATTATATATATACAAATTTACAACGCAAGGGGGCGCGCTATTTCCAGCCAAACAATGTTGTGCTCGTTCTTCACGGAATATTTTGCAGAAGCTGGGAAAATTTTTCAAAATGGATTCTTTCCCTTGGTCCATGGGGTAAACGTTATACTGACCAGGACGTTTCTCCTGCTGCTCCTTTTTCTGCGATTTTCTTTCGAAAAGTTCGAATTTGCTGCTCGCACTTGCGTGTTGCATGTGCCAGTCGTGTTATATGCACTCAACGGAGGTTACTTTTTTTTTTTTTTTTTTCCACCCCCGTAACGGCACATTCGGGTCGGCAAGAAGGGTGCACCCCTTTAAAGCCATGTGAATAACATTTCAGTTCAGGACTTCATTGGGAATGCGTTTCGTTAGAACGTGGTCAAGCTTGTTTTACTGGAAGACCAGCTTATAAGTCCTTTACATTTTCCCCTTTTCATTGTGCAAAAAACAAGAAGGGGAAAAAAAAAAAACACATCACCCATCCGGGCAGGTTAATTTGTAATATTACAAATGATCTAAGCGTGAGTGGCTTTCTCCAAAATGCAGTTTTAATTTTCATCGTAGGGGCATATATTAAGAAGGAAGCCCACGGAGGACGATGCGGGGCTGATTTAAGAAAGTGAATCAGTTTGCTTGAACAAAGCCAAGTGAGTTGCTTGTACGTGTGACGCGTCCCCCTGCCCGGTTGCAATACACACACATGAGCACACACGTAACCGCGCGTAGAGAAGCCAACCCCATCTACCCTTATGACACGACAAAAACAATTATTATGACAACCTAAAATTTAAATGAAAAGGATAAGGACCTGCTTAGCGCTTTTGCTAGTCCTCCACGTGCAGCTACCCCTAGGTGTGCTATTTTGCCATAGCTTCCATTTAGGTGAGGAGCGAAATGGGAAACGATGCCCACAAAGGAGGGGAGAGCAAACCACTACGTATGAACCACTTGCAAATGTGCCCACTCCGGCTGCGCCGACGCATCGCTACACTCCGTGCCTCGAAAAATGCATCCTCGTTTTGTGTACCTCCCAACTTGTGTAGATAACCGAATTGTTTCTTCGCCCCGTGGATCATGGAGCCCTGTTCGAAAAAGAAAGCGCCATGGGAATAATTTTTCCAGGGGGGTGAGCAGGAATAGTGCATACGTAACGTGGGCCATGTCAAATGGACACCAGGAGACACCCCCTGTGCATGGTGAGATGTCCAGCTTGCGCCAACAGCTGCCCGAGGGGGACACAAAAGAAGAACCTTCCAAGACGAACGTAAAAACCAAGGCACAAAAACAAAAGGAAGAAATTGAAGAAATTATAAAAAAAAGCGAAAACATAACAGTAGAGCGTTCCTTTTCCTTTAACAGAAGTGACATAACGATTAAGCCGGTACGTCGGTTGGGCGACATGTAGATGAGGCACAATTGTTCTGTGTGACTTGCCCCGCAGTACAAATGCCGCATATCCTCTCACTGTGCATAAGCCACATGGCCGATTATCCCCTCCTTCTCCCCCCTCGTAGGAACTCCTAAAAGAGCTCATTACGCAAAAGTACCGGAAGCTCTTTCAGCGGCATGACAAGGACTGCGGAAGTAGCGAAATTCAAATCATCATTTTGACTTTCAAAATATTTTTCCTTACAGAGCATATGAAGCGGAACAAAAAGGTACGCCCCAGGAAAATAAATGAAAAATGAAAAAAATTATTAACAAAATAGTAGTTAACCAAGCGACCGAATGTTTTGGAAACCCTACTGAGGGGGTAACCTCCCTCGGACAAGTAGCTCTTTGGGGTGGGCCCACTTCACCCCCGCACACACCACGACGACTGCATTTCCCCTTCGCAGGACTTTGCGTGCTTGAGAGGCCTCTTCAAATGTGTAAGCAAACGAAGAAGGTTGCTCGTCTACCTAGGAAGGAAAAACAGAGACACATTTGACAAAATCACGAATTATTTTAAAATTAAAAAACCGCTGCTTCCAGGGACAGCTGAATATTACAACAAAGATCTGAAGTATGTTCATTTCCGCAACACGAAGAGGTTTAAAAACAGCGCGGAGCGGAAGAAAAAGGTTAAGGCGAAGAATAAGAAGGTGCACACGGACAAAATTTTGTTCGGCGACTGATTCGGGGGAAATGATACAAGTTGCCACGTTCGCCTGACATACTGATATACCCCTTCCGATGTGAAGAATTATGCACATGATTCTTCAAAAAAAAAAAACGTTCATAATGTGTAGGTACGCATTTTTGTATTCCCCGGGCAGCATTCGCTCCATTTTTTTTTTTTTTTTTTCGTAACGTAAATGCAAATCTGTAAGTGCCCATTTCGCATGGATTTTTTTTCTTTTCCCCTTTTGTGCATTCCCCCTTTTTTACAACATACTGCGTAGGCGAATCGCACGTCGCACATCGCACATGGCGCTTCTAATCGGAGCCACGTGCAAACCTTTTTGGTGAATCGACTCAGTGAGGCATATGCATAAATGCTTTACACCTCCTCCCCCAGTGTGATTCATTCACATAATTATTTTTTCTTGCCATCCTCTGTTAAACTTTAAAATAATTCTTCCCTCATCCCTACATACGCAACACATGCTGGGTGAACGGAAGAATAACTGATGCCCATTTGGATAGGCCTCTTCCCTGTCGTGAGTTCCCCCGCTTTTTGTGCATACTTGGTTTGCACATACCTGGAGGATCCACATGAGAAGCGGCCCACCATACCACCATACCACGTTCTCTTCCTTACGCTCATTGAAAGCGGTTTCCACGTTGTTTGCCTTCCCTTCTCCTCCCCCTCGCCTTGTTTTTTTTCCTTCCCCCCTTTTTAAAAGAAGTCATTTATATCCACAATTAAAAACATGGCATGAGTGGGTGGCATCCTCACCCCTTTTCGAGTCCTTCCCCAAAATGAGTTGCCTACCTAGGAACAATGTAGAACGAAAAGTTTCGAATTTTATTTTTCCTTTTCACGTTCTGCTCCACGTGTTACGAAGTTGGTTTCTCCGTTTGGCACTTCTCTTCAGCGTGCTACATGGGGTAACCTTCTGTAACAGTGGCCGTGGGGTGGACGCGTCGCGGGGCCCCCCTGGCGTGTCCCCCATTTTCAGTGTCATCAGCAGCGATGTGAAACTGGGCAACCAAGTAGACTACGTCAGGAGGGCGCACCACCACAAGGGGGTGGAACTCTACGAGCAAGTTAGAAACAAATGCAAGGTGTACTTTTTGCCGCTCGTCTGGCCGTGCGGCGAGAATGTGACTCAACAAGGGAGAGAGACGGAGGGAGTCACTAACAAAAGCGATGGAAGCACCGCTGAGGGGGGTACTGCGCGCACAGTGCATGGGGACAACGAAAGCCCCTACGAATACCTGCAGAGAAACCTAGGAGACACGAAACACAAAATGGAAAGCCTCGCGACGCACATCGCACAGTCGGACGTCGTTATAGTCCCCATGAACTACCATGACATTTTAAATAAACATCTGTTAGACATTGCCCAGTTCAGCAACTTCCTCAATGCGATGGACTTCCTACTCCATGTGAACCAGACCAAGGGTAACCACAACGTTATTTTTTACATATACAATTTTCATGAGGATGATGATGCGTCGGGAGGTAGGTCAAGCCACAACAGCTACGTTGCAAAGGAAAGGGCATCCATTGTCAATATAGTAAAGTCGTTTCTTCGAAGCCACTGGAAGGAACAGTACCACAAGTGTGTGAATGAAAAATTCGTTTTTGCTAGAGAGAACAGCATCAATGTGGATAAATGGCTCGAACAAATTGGCAAGAAGAAGGTCTACTACCAAGTGAAGGTCCCCATGCAGAATAACCCTCCAACTAGGGATCACAAAAGCTACTCCCTCTTTTCGAACTACCGTCCTGACGCATTGAAGAACCTGACTAGCCAAAATTATTTTGTCTATAATTTTTTTTCCAATTTGAAATTTTCCATTTTGCATGAATATTTAAAATTGGCTAGCCAACTCAAAATGGACAATTTTGATCCATTACCAGATGCGGGAAAAATGAAAACAAAAATGAACCAAGTGGCGAAAGAAATAGATATGTTGCTGAACAAATTTTTGCATTTCCAATTAAATAAAAATATTATTAAGAATGAAGACATGATTGAACAGATTAAAAAGAAGCAACACTCTTACCTCGTCCACATCATCACAACAGACTTGCTAGAAAAATATGAACAGTTTTTGGAAACCCTCATTCGACAATTGTACCAATTGTATAGACAGAGAATAAAAAAAATAAAAATAACTTCAAATATGATTAATGAGTTTGCAAAAGAAATTAAAAAAATGGATAATCTATTCCACCTGTACAACTCGTCCTTGTCCTTTATTCATTACTTCAAAAACAAAGGGGACCACTTGCAGGAAAGGGCTAACTCTATTGCCCTTCACATGGAAGCAAAACTTCTTCAAACAATGAATGAAATCACTACGGAAATTATCAACTATTATATATCACAGGGGGTGTACGTTCGTAACTACGACTTCACTTCTTCCTTTCTTTCACTGAGGACGTACTCCTTCTTTTCCTACATTCTCCAAACACTCGCTGACATGCTCAGGAACAGAATAAGCCTCAGCTTTAACTACCTGTCCCCGAGCGCCTTCGGCTTCTCCTCCTACAAGTAAGGCGTTTGGCGGAGCTAACCCTGCGACAGGGGAAAAACGCCTCTGCACAAACCACGCTTCGCTTCTACTCTGCGCTGCTGCTGCATCTGATCGACGTGCCCTTTTTCCCCGCCTACACCCCTCAGGGACGACCTCTCTCTGTCCCCCAAACGGGACCTCATGATCACGACGAGTGAAATGGACCAGGTGGAAAAAATGTAAGTGCGTAGGTGCAAGTGCGTAAGGCACATAGTCCAGCTGAGCAGCTCTGTAATTGCATGGTTAACCGCTTCACCGTCTCCCTAACCGCGTCCCCCTTGCAGAAACATCCCCACGAGTACCTACTCGAAGATTCTCTTGTCAATGGACACGAATAAGAGGTAAACAAACTGGGCTCACATGAGGAGCTGACTCGCAGAATGGGTACCATTCCAAAAAAAAAAAAAAAAAAAAAAAA